ATTCAGACTGAGGCGGCCCACAAAAACATGACCCAGTCATTTTTTTTCACACTTGAAAAAATGACACTGATAGGCCCTCCACAGTCCCAAATGTACATAATCACATGATTAAAAACTTGGCTTTGCATAATATGTCCCCTTTAGATAGACCGTGTGGTCAGGAAGCTGTGGGCTGAGTGTATTTCCCGGTGTTTTCTGAGCTGAGCGAGGCCTGTTTCTGTGTTTGTGTGTCTGCAGGATGTTCCTGATCAGAGACAGCCAGCAGCACGAGCAGTGCTTCGTCCTGTCCATGTGCTTCCAGCTGAGGACCAAACACTACCTGGTCATCCCGGTGAGTGGACCCCTTCAAAACTAAGTGTTTTCATTTCCAAAATGGAGGCCACTTTCCTCCAGGCGGATCCAGATGGCTTCTAAGATGTCAAAAAACAGGCTTTATTAGACCTCAATGGTACAAAAATAACTGCGGTAGTAAAACACAACCTGTAACAACCAGTAACTTTAAAATAAATTTAAAAAATCACATAATGTTCTAAATATGACTTCTTCTGCATTAGAAAATACAACATCAACAAAATACCTCTTAATACCCCCTTAATGTAATAAGAGTCTCACAACGGTACAAACTCAGAAAAAGGATCTATACGAAAAGGATCTTTCAAAGGAGGACTGGACATAACTGAGTCCTATTGGCCAGTTACCTCTGGGCAGGAACAGGCCAGGTCCTAATTCATGTATATGACAGGAATGTGCTAACAAAGTGTGTTTTTGTGTGTGTGTTGACCTTAACACAAAATATAGTTATAAAAAGAAATAAAACAATCAGTAATTTACATAGATCATGTGTTAGCATACAATGCTAAAGTGAGTAATTATGACCAAATTCTAACAGGAGGACTGGACATAACTGAGTCCTCTGGGCATGAACAGGCCAGGTCCTAATTCATGCAGATGACAGGAATGTGGTAACAAATGGAGTGTGTGTTGACCTAAAGGTGGATCAAATAAAAAAGAGAATCGGGGCCGCAGCCGTAGCCTAATGGCTAGAGCGGGCGGCCCATATTCAGAGCCTTTGCTCGCAAGCGGGCGGCCTGGGTTCGATTCCAGCCCATGGCCCTTTCCCACAGGTCTCCCCCACTCTATCTCTGCCCCCCTTCCTGTCAAGCTACTGTCATTAAAAAAAGGCCACTAGAGCCAAAAAAGTCTTTTAAAAAAAAAAGGAAAAAAAAAGAGAATCGGTGGCTCCAGCCAGAGATTTTAACACAAAAGTTTAGTTCTGAAAGGAATAAGACAGTCAGTCGTTTACATGGATCATGTGTTAGCATACGATGCTAAAGTGAGTAATTATAGCCAAAGGAGGACTGGACATAACCAAGTCCTATTGGCCAGTTAGCTCTGGACATGAACAGGCCAGGTCCTAATTCATGCAGATGACAGGAATGTGGTAACAAAGTGTGTTTTTGTGTGTGTGTTGACCTAAAGTTGTGGATCTAATGAAACAGAGAAAGAAGAAAATAATCTGTGGTTACAGCCAGAGAGTTTGACATAAAAGTTTTGTTCTGAAAGGAATAAGACAATCAGTCGTTTACATAGATCCTGTGATAGCATACTATGCTAAAGTGAGTAATAATAACCAAATTCTAACAGGAGGACTGGACACAACCAAGTCCTATTGGCCAGTTACCTCTGGCCATAAACAGGCCAGGTCCTAATTCATGCAAAAGTTTAGTTCCGAAAGGAATAAGACAATCAGTCGTTTACAAAGATCATGTGTTAGCATGCTATGCTAATGGGAGGAACTAGAGCCAAATTCTAATGATACAGTTATGGTCCTGTGAAAAACAGTGAAAACAGGACATCTTTATGAATTTATAACCTTATAACCCCCCTCCGGACAAGCTGATTGCTTCTTCTTCTTCTTCTTCTTCTTCTTCTTCTTCTTCTTCTTCTTCT